TTTCTCCATCACTTCAACAGACAAGATATTATTTTCCCTTGATCTGCATTTTAAAAGTTTCTAATTTTATTTCTTGAAATGACCCTTATGTTACTTTTTGCTGTAGATTAACCGTTTGGAACATTTTATTGGTCAGAAGAGACTGTGTTGGAGAGGCTCAGAGGGTATATGCACTGAGACCGTTAAGAGAAACACCTGTAAACTTCAAATGCTTTTATTGGGGAACTGAATCCATTTTAAGATTTTGGGTTTTAATCTCCATTTAGTTGAAATAAAGTAAATATGTCTCTTTAATCTCATCTATTACATCTGCTTATAGCTTTAGAGATTAGGATCCTCAATCAGACCCTAGTGGCTACATAGGTTTATGCACAAATCAAAGTCATGCACTTTGCAAACCTGAGTATTTGTCATCTCATTTCATGTCATACAGGCAAGAAAGCAATAGTCCCCGACCAGTGCTAGTTGTCAGTCTTCAATTTTTAAAACAAATCAAGTGTCATTTCTACCACATGAGCCTTAGACTCTGTTTCAATATCAATAAAATTAGGAGTTTGAGGTAAAGCATTTTTAAGAGTTTATTTTAGTTGAAACCTTACATCTCTGATTCTCTATCTGAAGTTGTTGGTATTTAAAATTCTCCAGTGGAAGCTGTTGACTTAGGGAAATATGACTGTAGAATACATAGTACTGCTTTACTACAATTTCCCTACACATTTCTGTTCCAAATCTGGTATTACAGAGGTACATTTTTAATGTATTTTAAGTTCTTCACTTTCATTTTCGATAAATATGAAAATATTCCAACACACCAAAGAAATAAAGCATTTCCCTAATTAGTTGTTTGACAATTAAGCAATATAATACACTTAAAATGATGTCTGAGACCTATAAATTGAATTAATTAAATTAGAAATGTGCATTATTATTTATCAAAATAATGAAATGAAAATAGAATTGCATTTTGTAAACTATATTCCTGTAACATCAACGTTTTCTTAATCACAGTTTTAGTCAAGTATTTCTAGCTTGGAATAATAGAAGTTCAAATTTAGAGGGAGTTTACAGTTTACCATCTAGATCTCCACCTAATGCACTATTTTTTGACTCAAAAGCACAATAACAGTTAGATGGACAATAGTATATCTCTCATTTTTCTATTCTAAATAGGAAGAAAGAATTTCTGAGTGAGTATTCATATTCTTTGATTAAAGTATTTTTCACGGTAATCAATTATGGATTCTCTGGAGTATAAACTACTTAATGAATAAACTCTTCCATGGGACAACTTATCACTTAATAATTTACAATAATAAATTATTCAAATTATGTGTAATATGTTTGACAAGAACAAAAATTGTCAAAAACTCGTTGAAATAAGGTAAAATTAGTATTTTCTTAACCAAAAAAACCAAATTAATAAAATGCCTGGACTCACATACTTATTTGGAACGAAGATAAAGGACTTGGTTTTATGAAGTATTTGAGTAGTTCATGATTTTTATTTAGTTCTCTTCTAAGAGCAATTAAAATATTTTTCAGTGAAAATCAGAATTTAGGCAGCCATTATAAGCAACACAAAACTTAAAGGAAGTTTAATATTAATGATTATAATACAGATTCAAATCTGCCCTAACAGATCTATTCTTTGATAAACTATTATTGCATAATTGGAAGTTTGAGATTGGCTGCTACAAACTACTATGTACAGAACAGATACACAATAAAGCTCTACTGTACAGCACAGGGAACCATATTCAATAGCTTGTGGTAAACTGCAATGAAAAAGAATATGAAAAAGAACATATACATATATAAATATATATGTATAACTGAATCACTATGCTGTACACCAGAAACTAATACAACATTGTAAATCAAAAACGTAGAAATTAAAATGAAGAAAAAAAACTATTACTGCATAAAATGGCAAAAGCAAGGAAGGAGATGCTCAAATTTCTAAACATTATAAGTTACTGCTAGAAAAAAATGTTGTTATTTAGATCTGAGGAGCCAAAGCTTCTAAACCTCAGTTTATCACCACTACCCACCTTACTTACTTCTTAGGGCATTACTTCTAGGACATTAGATGGTATGATGCTTTGGAATAATTTTTACATTCTTCTGACTTTGGATCTCTCCTGACCAGGTTATTTCTTTCCTATTCATACTACAGCTTCCCAAATTCCTATTATTATTGCATGTTTAAGTGGATGAGTTATATGAAAACCACCCTCCCTAACCCACGCCAGAACCTGGGAGTCATTCTAGATTCATCTTTTGCTCAGTGTATCAAAGTGTGGTGTTTTTACTGGTTGATTTTTATTTTTAGAGGTTGGTGGTGGGGAAGGATTGTATGTCCTTTGATTGTTTTTTTCTTTTGTTTTGAAGGATCGTAAAGTTCCCCCTTGGTCTTGCCTCTTTTCTCCTTCATTGTGTAGTTTCCAAAGAGCATCTGCCTTTTTCTTTCTTTTTTCAAACAGCTTTATTGAGATGTAGTTTACTGACCATATAACTCATCCACTTAAAGCATACAATTAAATGGTTTTGTTATAGTCACAGAATTGTGTGACCATCACCACAACCTAATCTAGGAACATTTTGTCCTTCAAAAAGAAACCCTGTTTCCATTGGAGGTCCTGCCCATTCCCTCCCACCTCACCCCCAGCCGCACACAATCACTATATAGAGAGTGATTCTGGACATTTAATGTAAATAGAATCATAAAATATGTGATCTTTTGTGATTGGATTCTTAACCTTCTTCTCCTGTAATCAGTGTGCTCATGGGACAGAACACTTCTCATTATTTTTGCAGTATTTCCAGAACTGCCCTTCATCTCTGTGATGGCTTGTGGGAGAAGCATGGGATATATAATTTACTGGTTTCTGTTTTTCATTGTTTATTTTCTAGGTAACTTGAAGTTTGGATTTTTTTTTTGTCTTCCACATATACTGAAGGCACACTTTTGTGTATTTTTATTTGATCATCTTGTTCTCTATTGTTTTTTGTAAGAAACATTGGGAAATGCTAATTTAAATGGTTTCTTTGCTTTGGCAACCCAGATCTCCCATAATTCTTTTTTTAGGTTCCAAATATTTGGGGGCACTGATAGTTACAATTTAATTTGAAATTTTACTATATTACCAATAAGGCTAATTTTAGGTTCTGACTATATTTATTGCTTTTTCCAGATGAAGCCTAACTCTGTGAAACTCTAGTCTCAAGAGATTGTACTTTAAGGCTATGAATCAATATTATTTTGATGAGAGATGTTTTGGAAGAACAATGCTGGGTCTAGAAGATCTGTCATAAGCCATCTCGTATTTCAGAAGTCCTCTTCCTATGATAAAGGATTTATTGCTTAGATTTGATATAAACAATTGTTTGAAGATTTTGATATAAGCATTTGTGAAGATAATTGTGAAAATAGGACATAACAAATATAATCTTTCTACAGGAGATAAAGGTGACAATATAAGGTAAAAGGACACTAAAATCTATCCTAAAATTAAGGAGGAATGACTATTATTTTGTACTAATTAATATTGGTTTGCTTTGTTATATCTGGATTATAGATTTTATATATACTGTCATAGATTAAACAATAAACTGGAAATAATTTTGGCAATCATAAAATCTAAATCCTTCACTTGAAAAAAGTAATAAAATCAATGAGTCTAAACAAATTTTATAAAAACCATGCAGTATGTCAGGAATAGAGATGAGTTAGGAATCCTGAATCAGTTAGCTTTTGCTATGAAACAATCCACCCCAACACATAGTGACTTAAAACAATCATTAACTTAGCTCACGATTCTATGGATTGGTTACTTGGGCTGGGATCAACCTGATGGATTTTCTGCTGGTGTTCTTTCCTGTGTCACAGTCACTGATTGGGTTGACTACATTTAAAATTCAATACATACTGAATTTCCCAAACAGAAATTTAAAAATTGTATCTAGGTATCTGGGAAAAAAATGTGGAAATGCACAGAATTTGAGAGAGAATGACAGGCTTTGGGATAGTGGGGAAATCAACAAGGCTGTGGGTTAAACCCTGGGGTAGAGGGTGAGGAAATGTGGTGGGTGATAAGGCTGGTGGGGTCTTCGAATATCCAGAATGTCTTTCCATTCAATGCAGGAACTCTGTACCCAGTTTTATTCAAGAATATGTTTTGAGCTCACAAGAAGAAGCAGTAAGGTAGAATTTCCATTTGGGAAAGGCATCTTTCCCTCCTTACAATAGGAAATCTGAACAAATACAAATTTTGTGAATTGGAGGATACTGGCGTACAGCAGAGAGTCTATGGAGATTCAGGGGACAGGAATTTCATGATTACAGCAAGGGTGTGATAACAGCATGAACAAGCTTGGGGACCAAGAGAGAGCCCAATAGGCTGCACAGGTTATGGTATCAATCAGTCAGATACAGGTGACAGTCCAGAAGTTCAGGAAATCTGACATAAATCAGTCAGCCCCCCAGATGGTTCCAGCCCAGCACTTCCTGTCTCAGAATGAGCACAGGAAGTGAGGGATCATTCAGCCTGCAGATGGGTGGACAAAAGCAGACAGAGGAAGAGGCAAAGTCAGTGTGACTATGAGATTCTTTATCAATTTTTGGCATGTTAGTTACTACTGTGACTCAAAAAGAAATCATCTTTGGACTATTGGCAACTTTAGAAAAATTTATGAGCTAAAGAATGGACTTTTTCAAAAAATGAGACTTTTTTATTACTTATTTCTGAAAGATATTAAAATAGTTTAAGCAATACGGAATGATACAGCTAAAAAAACGTTATTTTATATCCTTTATTCTTTTGCTTTGGTAAATGGAAGCACACCAGCTTCATTGATTCATATCCACCAAATACCATCTTCTATTTCCCTCATCCAAAATCTGTTTAGGTTACATATGCCAACGTTAACCATTTGTATGTTGCCTGTGTATTTAGTTGAACACCTATCTGCAAATTACCTATTTGTTCTCTTTGTTTCAGAGGATCTCATAATGTCCTTCACAGTGTCCATGGCAATTGCACTTGTAATTGGAGGACTTATTTGGGCTTTGTTCACTTGTTTATCTCGAAGAAGAGCCAGTGCCTCCATCTCCCAGTGGAGCTCAAGCCGGCGAACGCGGTCTTCTTACACCCACGGCCTGAACAGGACTGGATTTTACCGCCACAGTGGCTGTGAACGTCGAAGCAACCTCAGCCTGGCCAGCCTCACATTCCAGCGACAAGCTTCCCTGGAACAAGCAAACTCCTTTCCTAGAAAATCAAGCTTCAGGGGCTCAACTTTCCATCCCTTTCTGCAAAGTCCACCACTTCCCGTGGAAACTGAGAGTCAGCTGGTGACTTTCCCTTCTTCCCGTACCTCGTCCACCATCAACACTTCCCACAGTCTGGGCCGTCCTGATTTCCACTGGTCCAGTAACAGTCTTCGAATTGGTCTTTCGACACCACCCCCGCCCGCCTACGAGTCAATCATAAAGGCATTCCCAGACTCCTGAGTAGGATGCTTTCGTTTTCCACTTGTTTCTAATCGGCTAAGCAGAATTTTGAGGATGTGGCCCAGACGACTAATGAGTTTCCAAGCTGAAACACGCACGTGCAAGTTGGATATTACAATGTAAAACACATTTCCTTTGAACACATTGTTGTCTTTGTCTCACAAAATACATCTTTCCAAATAGTTATATGTTTATATAGTTTGTTTTCAACATGAGGATTATTAAAGATAGTGATTCTAACCTAAGAATCAGCCAGATGCAGTATATATATTTTAGACTAGAATGAGAACTCTAGATATTTGTGGTTTGTAATCCTCATTCATCGTCCAGTGTGACTATAAAGGGGGAAGAAATCGCTGTTACTTTAAAATTTTTTTCCATCCTAAGAAATTTAAATTTCACTTTCTTTAGAAAGACAAGGGAGCTATTGTACAATCTTAGATTTTTAATGGATCATATGGATACAAATTGACAAAACAGGGGAGATTCTAAAGTTCCTTGATTCCACTCATTTACGAGAAGTGAGGGATCAGGCAAAGGAAGCTGAACTCAGTAGGTGTTGCAGAATATTGCAATTTTGACATTTATTTTTTCCTCTAGACTCCTTTTGTGCTTTTTCCAAGAATAGTTCTCCACATCATTAAGGTCAAATCCTTGGATTTACTCACATGTTCATTTGACTTTTCTTCACCATTGTGGTTCTGCTGTTACAAAAACAACAGAAGACCCAATTCATTTGACCTGCAAACAAACGAACATTGAGCTTGCTTATTTCTTAAAGAATAAACTTTATTTCTTACATTTAAATCTAGCAAGCTATCTCGGGATCTTCTGTAACTTCACAGACAAGTAAGGAAGGGCCCGTGGGGAGAAAGTTGTCAAATAGATGTTACGACCATGAAGAATCCTCCTTCCTGGTTTGGCTCCTCCGTCGTCATTTTTTGTTTGCTTCTCTATGAATTTCAACCTCAGATTCTGTGAAGAGTCTTCATATAATGGCTAAACTATGCCAAATGGTCCTCGGTGCAGACAGTTATTTAAGGAGTCCACCTCCACAGGCAGCCACCCTCTTAAAGGAAGGTACATCCTCCGTGTGGGTACCAGAGAGCTTCAGTGGCCAGATGCCTGTGGCTACCCTTGTTCATTTAAGGACATGAGTTCACAGGATTATTACTCAAAAGACCTGTGGCTTGTTTCTGATATAGTGAATATTTAGCTTATATTGCTGCTGCTTTCGCTGAATGCTGGGATCTTCAGTGAAGAAAAATGTATTCTCATTATAGTTTCTGCAGCGCTGCAGTTCCAGCTAATAGTGTCTGAATATGGCTCATGAATGTAATAATTTTTACATAATAAAAAATTCTGTATGGGGGGAGGGTATAGCTCAGTGGTAGAGTGCATGCCTAGCATGCACAAGGTCCAGGGTTCAATCCCCAGTACCTCCATTAAAAAAAAAAGATTCCATATAGTATTTTCTTTATTGTTTTTACTTAGCTTACATTTTCCATTGTTCTTCAAGGACAGTTATTCTTAATAATGTCTATAGTAGATGTCTACAGATAGACGCTCTCTAATACCATCCACCTGAAGAAGAAAGCAGGAAGGAAGATAGGAAGAAAGGGAGGAAGGGAGAAAGGGAGGAAGGGAAGGAATGAAGGAGGAAGGAAGGAAGGGGAAAAGAAACAAGTACTTGCAGGGTATCCAATTGTAAGTTGGTTTTTAACAAACTTAGCAGTTATTGTATAGCTACGTAAGATTTCAAGAGATCATTAACTTTGTAATAACACTATATTTGCTTGTATGTCATCCTTAATGTTTAACATGAGAAGGCAGCAGAGTGTATGCTTTTTATCTAGAATTTATATTGGGTGTGAAAACTGCTTCCTATCTCAAACGAGGAAAACGAAAGCAGAAATTCTCTGGTGTATTTAACCATCTGGCAGAATCGTTGCCAAGTTGTGAAGCGATCAAAATGAGTACCTTGTAAATATTGTGCAAAGTATGAAATGTGAAATTAAAGCAAAAACTGGAGACGTTTTTAGTTATATTTGTTTTATTTGAAATACTTAGTTGGCTATGAAATAAAATTAAACTGATATCAATTTTGATTCACAGCTTATTTATGGAACAACCTATGACTATTTCCTACTTGCTTTGATATTTTAACCCAGTCTAAACCATCTCTATAAACTATTCCAGAGACACAAACCCTATTTTATCTGACAGTGTATGACAGAAAAAAGACAGATCACAGGTACATGAAACAGAGTTTTTAATGAATTAATATAGATGTAAAATAACTAAGTTAATTTTTTGTTTTTTAAAATATTTTATTGAAATATTGTCAGTTTACAATGTTGTGTCAATTAAAAATATATTTTTATTAAAAGTTATTTGTTAAAAACATTAATTTAGATTCTTACCTCACTAGATAAACAAGCAATTCCAGAATTATTTAATTAAGTTTTTTAGAGGATTAACTTTTTAACTGAGCTATAATTGACATGTAACACTATATTAGTTTTGAGTGTACAACATAAGGATTTGATACACATATATATTGCAAACTGATCACCACAGTCCAGTTTAGTTAATTAACATCCATCACCACACATAGTCACAATTTTTTTTACTTGAGATGAGAACTTTTAAGATCTACTCTCTTGGCAACTTTCAAATACACAATGCAGTATAATTAACTGTAGTCACCATGCTGTATATCACATCCCTGGGGCTTATTTATTTTATAACTGGAAGTTTATACATTTTTTGACCACCTTCACCCATTTTGCCCATGCCTCCTGCCCCCAACTTCTGGCAATCTGTTCTCTGATATCAGCAGAAAGTCCTATTGGTTCAATTGGAATTTTGCCTAATATATTAATGTCTTGAAGTAATTAGGAATAAACTTTCTCAAATTAAGAAGAAGAACCCTAACAACATATGAAAACCACAAGAAAAAAAAACTGCAGATCTGCAGAAGTGCCTCATTTTAGTGCAAGAAGTGGTTGATTTACACAAGGTGAAGAAATAAAGCCAGAAATTTCCAGAATTAATTAGCTACTGGGTGATGGGAGCAGAAGAGGGCTAGTCTGATTCTCTTTCATGGTGTGAGAGTACAGGGCACACTCTTCCGTCTGTCAAAGCCCCTGCTATTCTGAAAACCACATTCCTTTCCCTGACTATCCTCCCACATGAGGATGGCAGGGACAGTCACAGCATCAAATGTAACCTCACTGATGGGTCTAGGAGAAGTAGAAGGCATCTGGTCCTCTGCAAAGGATTCCGAGAGTCAAGCCAGTATCTCTCAGGTGGTTAAAACTGCAAGAAATAAAATTTAAAAGCCTTTTCCTGCCATGCAATAGGGAAGACATTAAACTGATCACAGAAAGAAGCGGGAAAAAACAAAAACAAAAACAAAAACCACGGAATTGCCAGTGGATTTGAAGCTCCTGAAGGCTGGTTGTAGAATGTCTCTCTCCTTCCTAAGGCGTGGGTATTGAGGTCTTTCTTGGATTCCACTTAAAACTGCAAACGCTTTCTAGCAAATTCTCATTTTTATATAAACCAAACTGGGTTACATTACAATATCTTGTCAAAAAGGTTTCTAATGAAATGGGTATTTAATACATACTGCCTTATTTCTGAAGTTGATAAGTGGAGAGAAAAATGGGCATAAGGATATTATAAGAAGTTATATTAGAAACCGACAGTAAAACTAAATACAGAGTAACTGTCTTAGGAAAATAGGCCTGTAGACAAATAACAGATTATATAGCAGATGGTAGAAAACAAGGAAAATAATGAAAACTAAAGAGTGAAAGAGTGACATAAGATGTCAGAATTAAAATAAAATCTATTACGTTCTTTACAAAATTAATACAGATGAGATAAACAACACAAAATAACAGCTTCTGTGGGATCAAAAATTTCCAACTGCAAGCCAGTTGTAAATCTTGCTTAAAATTAAGTGATTCAGAAAAGATGTAAGTAAAAGGATAGGCAAAGATATATTAAACTCTACCCATTATCAATATCAGAAAAAGGTGAATTTAAGATGAAATATGTGAATAGAAGAAAGAGTATTACTTCATAATATTACTGATCATAATCCCAATGAGGATATAAATTATCTTGAGTCTTAGTATGTGATACAGCACCAAAAACGTCTTCATAAAACTAACTACAGACACAGTGAAGGATATAGAGAAATATTTAAGTATCTGAAGGGACAAGCTTTAATTATAGATAGGAAGTCTCAATTTTTTAAGATATAAAAAATTAAGACAGAAAAAATTGAGATAGATGAAAATTGAGATCGATTTTATATATAAATTAACTTAAATATTCAATGTCATTTCAGTCAGAAGCCGTCCATAGGGGCCTATAATTTGTCTTATTTTTGTATCTGTTTTTGATTGTCTTTAACTTAGATGAAGACAGAAAGTCATGTTAGAAATAAAATTTAAGGGACAAAGTCATTAAAATTCTGAGAAAGAAGAAAAATGAGAAAGGATTTGGGCTATTAGATATTAAAATAGTTTTTAAGCTCAAACAATCATGCAACCAAAAAAAATAATAATGTACAAATCAACCAAACAGAATAAACAATACAGAAATAGAAACAAGTATGATTATAATTTCTAATAAATGAGCAAAATTGATTAATAAGTGTTTGGGGCAGAAATCTGGAAGACCACAGAGAAAAATCTCTCACTTAAAATAAGTTCAAAATGAATAAGAAATGTAAACATTAAAATGACATAAAGATACACAATAAAAATAGGAAGATATTTTAAAAATATTTACATGGAAGTAACTTTTCTAAGTGAGTTTGGATAATGTGAGCTCAGATTTTTTAAAAAGTTTTGAAGGTTCATTTTTTAATAAATGAATAAATCCGCTCTGGAATGAACTCTCCCCCAAAACTTGATGTAATTAGAGGGCTTACCTCACCTGTTTTAATTCTTTCAGGAATCAAACTAATGTGCTGCCTGTCTCCCAATATGCCCAGTTTTATAGTTTGTTTGTGGTCAGAAGGTAAATCTTGTCCTTTTTATCTATTGTGACTGCAGGTGGAAGTCTCTGAAAAGTTATCGTTCTTTAAAATAAAGAAAATGATGAAACATCCCCTTCCCTGGCCAGGGGATGCTATTAAATCCTGTTAAAATACAAATTATGAACTGTAATATGTGCCATATATATGTTAATAAGTTAACACACCTTAGTGTGGATTAAATATTCTACAGTTTAATATAGAAAAATAATATCTCAATGGAAAGTGCACAATGGATCAGGTAATTTGCAAAATGAAAGTATTAAACTAACCAATATGGCCTTGAAAATTACTTTTCTGAAGTGTACTTTGGCCATATAAATGTAAACTATAAAGACTCTGAAGATTACATGCATTTGCCCTGGGAAAGTAATTCTAGGCAGCTGTTATAAAATTTCATATTATAACTTCCTTTCTTAGGTGCCTAACAATTATTAAACCAAAGCCTTCACTGAGTAGATAGCATACAAAGCAACCTCCTTCCCCCAAACCCAAACCACAAACCAGCTACATCGCCACTGGACTAAGAAATTACCCTTGACCTGGAGGTTGCTCTGTCATCAACTGACTGATGAGATGAGTTGGGATTTGAATTTACAGTCAGAGAGAGGGTGAGGGCACATTAAATGTTCTCACTGTACTCCATGAAAATCAACCAAAATCTCGGAACTCAGACCCTGGTCACATTCTACAAATGCTCAAACAGAAGAGTCTGGTGGCCGATCACAGAGCAGGCACTAAAGAGGAGTTACAAGTAAATGGTAGAAGCTAGAATCAGAGGTCATGGAGAAATAAGAGATGAAGTGGGTAGTACAGAATTGACCTGGGTGAGTGAACAAAGTGAGAGGAGAGAGAGGGAAGCAGACCATCAGAGAAAGATGACTGTGGTGGGAAGACAGAGAAAGAGAATCTTCCCTGCTTTCCCCATAGCTCTCTAGTTTCTAACCCTGTCTTTTTTTTTTTTTTAATTATTTTAGTTATTTATTTATTTTTCTTATTGAAGTAGAGTTGATTTACAATGTTGTGTTAGTTTTTGGTGTACAGCAAAGTGATTCAGTTATACATACATAAATATATTCTTTTTCATTGTAGGTTATTACAAGATATTGAATCTAGTTCCTTGGGTTACACAGTAGGTCCTTGTTGTTTATATATCTTATACATAGTAATTTGTATCTGCTAATCCCAAACTCCTAATTTATTCTCCCCCACCCTTTCGGTAACCATAAGTTTGTTTTCTATGTCTGTGAATCTGTTTCTTTTTTGCAAATAATTTCATTTTCCAGCACTTTCAGATATGAATTTTGTGCTCCCAAATTTCACTTACAGTGGACAGGTAATTCATTTGCTTGGCTAACACATATGTTCATTTTTGCTCACCCAATTTTCTTAGGGCAACTATTCTTTCATTTGACGTCATCTTCTGGTGACTTTCTGTCACCGTTCGCCACCTGTCCCTATGCCCTCCACTCTGCTTTCCAAAATGGAAAAAATGTCCCTCTTCTAGTCAATATTCCACTAGGGCTTTTAGTTTCATTCTCTCTTGCCTTCTTAATTATTTTACTGTTTCAAATATCCTTTCTCTCTCTGGTATTAGCAATACTTCTATCTTAAATTGGGATCATTGGAAACAGATTCTAGTTTGTGTGCAAAAATTTGGAAGGAGGCCCTCCCGGGAAGACTGTCTATACATGAGCGAGGGAAGCAGGACTGGGCAGAAGGGAACACTCAGATGAGTGGCGTTTCCAATAGAGGTTTCGGCCAGTCGTGTGGCAGAGCTAGGATGGTCCTTCAGAGTTGTCCCCAGTTGAGGCAGACGGCTGGGCAGTGGTTTGGGTTGGGGTTAGGATCAGAGCTGAGTGAGCTCTGAATGAGGCAATATAAAGACAAGCCCTGTAAATGGGGTTTTCAGGGAACTAGCTGCCAGTCATATTAAATTGTGACTATTCCCTGAGCACAGGGGTTTCAGAGGAACTCTAAACTGATAAAGATTGTCTCCTTGCCAAAACTCTACCCAGGCACCCCTCAGCTCTCTTTTCAAATGGG